GGGACCCGCCGTGCCTGCAGGTATGGCAGGTCTTATGAATGCGTATGACGGCCCGCCGCGGAATGGGCCCGCACAAAGCGAGGAGCACGGGCGCGATCCTCGTGAGCTTGAGAGAGATATTCGGGAGAGGAGTGGGAGCAGAAGTAGTGGAGGTGCCGCCGAGCGATAGGCTTACTCTACGGACTCTGCTGTGCTGCGCCGATTGTTCTCTTATCGCTTCATCTGCTTGCTGTGCTGTTACTCGCTGTTCTCTGTTGATATTGCTTACATTATACACATGAGGGGACCTGATATAAGGACAGGACGCTTCGATATGTACTTCAATCTGATGCCGATTCCTCGAACACAGACGATGAGCTGAGTCTCAGGCTTTGGTCTTCCCTCCCACTGCTGAACTCAGAGATAATGCAAGGATATATTACGTCGCTAGCTGGCAAGCACGGTAAGTAATGTACGAGGAGCAATAGAGAACACGAATCCGTGCGTAAAGAGCGAGCGGCAACAGAGCAGAGTGAACGTCCGGAAAGTAAAGTGAATAAAGATAGAGCAAACATCAATCCGAACTTCGTTCTTCTCTATGCCGACGCGAACGTGGAGCGCTCGCGAAGTCTACCGCCCATCTTGTAGAAAATAAATCTGTCGGTGCACGTCAACGACCCATTCCGATTTGCGATCGCAAGCGAAAACGTACGGTAACGGTGCCATGACGAGCGTCAACCCGGCTAAGAGCGCGGTTGCGCCGACGGTACCGAGAGTGTTGTACATCGCTCCCGCAAACAGGGGAAAACCTGCGGCGAAGGAACTGCGCATAGCGCTGTTCGCCGCTAACGCATTGGCTGCAATTGAGCGGTAGGCGACGACGAGATACGTAAAGCTGCTGGTGTACGCGAAGTAGACCCCAGTCCCGAAAGGTACGCTCGCGACGATGGGCACGGCGTAGTGCACAGACGGATAGGTGGTGAACGCGAGCCAGAACAGTGAGATGGGGATAAGCAGCCCGCCTACCATACCCTGCGCAAGCCGGAACTCGGGAGGAGGATCGACGCCCCAGTAAGCCTTGAACTTCCTGAAGCGATAGTTCCAGTACGGCTGCGTCGACAGGCCGATGAGCATGCCGACGAAGATGCCGAGAAAAGTGAGGCCAGTCTGCCACATGTTGAAGTTATGTTTGGCGAACACGACCGGGAATGCCTGGAACGTGAGGTAGAGGATCCCGAGGATGAGCGAATTCCTGTGCGCGGCGTGAGTAAATGCTGCGAGCTGCGTGCTACGAGATTGCACACCAAAAGTTGATGAGGAACGCCATTGGCTCGCGGAACGTCAGGATGAACGGCACCGTGCATGACTTCAGCAGTGCCTGACCGAAGGAGCGGTTTGAGCGCTCCTGCGGTGCCCAGTAGTTGAGGTCACCGGTTGACCTCCGTAATCTGTGATGATGAGCCAGTCAGCGAACAGAACTCGTCGGCAGCGACCAGGATGAACGTACCTTTCGGCCTTGCGCTTCAGCAGGACTGGTACGAAGGTTTCGGGCACGAAGAGGAAAAGCGCGATGGTTTCAATGAAGGCCCAGATCGTCAGGATATGGAAGGTCCAGCGCCAATCGAGGTACTGATTAACGAAACTAGGATCGACGCGTTAGCGCACAATGCCGACATGGTGATCAGGGCCGCAAGCTCACCCTGAATAGAGCGGTCCAATTTCTGGACCGAGGAAGGGAGAGATCGTGAATATAGCGAGCGGCGTTGCAATTTCGTCGGGAGCAAACATATCCGCAACGGAGCCACCAGCGACACTCAAGAAGCTGGAGAGCGTGCATGAGCGTCAATCAGACGCTGAGAGGTGATGAGGACTCACGCAGAGGCAGCGAAGCCTGTGAAGAAGCGGAAGACGATGTACTCTTGGATACTGGGCGCAAATGCCACCGGCCACGAGAACGCAAAGAAGAACAGGTATGACCCTTGATAGACCACGGAGCGGCCCATGACTTCGGAAATGGGACCTACACGCAAGTCGTCAATCAGTGCCACAGCCACACGAGTGACGACGCACGCGGTACTTACCAGCAATGAGGGGCCCCAGCCCGAGTCCCATAACGTACAGTGAGACGCCGAGGATAGTCACCTCCTTGCTCACGTTGAACTCGTTGGCGATGCCCGTTTCCGCGAAGGCAGCCTGCAGAAATAACACGACTCGTCAGCAGAAAGTGCAATAATATTCGCCAGTCTACGCACTGCCGACGAAGCGCATGTCCCCAGCAATGCGCCCATGCATATCGTCAACACCGCCGTCCACCTCTTGAGTTTCGACCACGTCTGTGGGTGCTCGCCCGCTTCGAGCTTTGCGACCTCGTACGCGGCTTGCTTCTCGTTGAGAGCCGCCAGGGCCTTCTCGACCTGCATGGGGTCTTGTGCGGCCAGCGTGACAGAAGACGAATCCATGACTGCGTTCGAGGATGGGCCAGCCACGGCGTGCGTCGGTGGCGGTGAGTCCCTCTTAAGCTCCTCGATGGGCGAGCCGCAGCTAGAGTCTCCAGACGACATCGTTTACAGCACAGCAAGGGGCACACCGTAAAGCTGATCCCGACTGCGAGCCTTATGAGAGTAACGGACGGAAGGCCGTAAGGGACCGTCACCCACTGCCTGACGCGAGGATCGCCACGTTCGGCCACATTCTGGAGCTTCGATTCGGGAAAAGCGGCATTCGTGTATCTCTGTAAGACGCTGACAGCACTCTCAAGCGCTGAACGATAATATCACTGTCTCGGAGATTCGGGTAAGCCGGAGCCCATGGACGGGGAAGACAAGGTGCCGCGTGGAATGGTGGCGCTTGGCGCTTCTTTCAACAGCCAACTGAATTGCGCGCCTTTGTACTTTAGACGACGCCTTGCGGTTCACGCCTGCACTTGACGCACTACGTTCCGCGGAGAGACCTCGTCGACATAGTCGCTACACCTACGATAACATCTACAGAGAGGAATACAGAGCACCGGCTTTTAAGACAGTGAGTGGGAAGCGGGAAGTTTGTGTAAGCGGGGCAATGGGTCAGGGAACGCCAGGACAGATCAGATAGAGAAGTTGCAGGTACACTACAGTCAGCGCGGGAGGATAGGAGCAGCTTCAAAGATATCATCAAGCGAAACGTGCTCTGCGATACAGTCAGCAAATCGATAGCTGAGTACATCCAGACAATCGAGTCTACCATCGTAGATAATCCTGCCAGCACGCAGTGCGAGTTGACCTCTGCGTGAGTTATCTGTTTGTGAGGAAAGGTATTGCCGTGGGTCTCACCGGGTGCTATGTGCGGGAACGTATCGTCGTATGTTTTCGCGTACCGCAGTTTTACCGCCGTCATATGTTCTGAACACGAGAGCTCCATGAGTCGTCTAGAAAGCGAAGATGAAGGTGGGTCGTATGCTGGAGCCGGCGGTATAGGCCAGAGTAGCTGGCCAGCGCGAGAGTGGGTCACCTTCGGAGTCAGGTCGGATATGTCTAAAAACGTGTTGTTATGCGCGCTCTCAGTCTCCAGCGGCCAGAGCGTTCGCCGGGGAGATGACAATGAAAAACACAGACCGTCCCAGATAGGGCGCTCGAACTGACGTTCAGCGCTAAATAGCCGATACACGACCTCCGCAATGAATCCAGCTGGCCGCCACGTTGCAGACGTCATAGATCATAATCGAGCGCCCGCGTCTTGTTAAGGAGTAGAAAGCAGGCAGCAGAAACCGAGAGCGGGCGGTACTCTTTGCAACTCCCTTAAGCTAGGCGCTTCAAGAGCTGCAGTGCCTCGACACTTGAGCGCGACGGCTTCAAACCTCGGGTCGCCACGTTGAGCACGCGCCACAGGGTGGTAAGGATCGACGCGCGAGGTTAGGGATTGTCGTCTGCCGGCATGAGTGGGCCACCTCGAGCACGACCCTAGTGCGCGTGATACCAAGTCCTGCCTAAAGGGGCGAGCGGCAAAATTGAGTCCTTATCCGAGGATTGAGCATGGAGACCTGTTTCGTTTGTACTGGCACTGACTCTGAAACTGCTGCAAAGCCAAACAACTGACATCTTGCACCTGTGCGTTTGTGCGTAAGCGAAAACACCAGGTCTGGGGTCGATGACAGACATACTATGATCACAGTCACATTAGCATGCCGTAGTAGGTGTCTGTCGTCCAGAGGCTACGCCGGCTATTTGAGCGAAAGTGCTGCGGCGCGTCGAGAATAGTTGTGGTGGCGATGAAAAGGGCAGTAAGATGCGATCTACCTTGTCCTGGATGCAAGGACAGTTGACCCTGTCATACGGGGCCTAACGGCATAAGCTGCGTCGTCGATGAAGCCACTGGACTACTACCGAAGCGAGGATTATTTCTATGCATGGCTGTGGATGTGGCTCTGCTTGCAAGTAAGATATCAATCTTTGCCGTAAGTCGACAGGCTACGAGGCAAGAATAATACCTCTGGCGCGAAACTAGATTCCGGGAGGTTCCCATGTGAGTTGGGGTTACAGACATGGACGTTCCGGCGATGCGCCTGCATAACCTCGTTCCACCAAAACGAGCAGTACAGCATTTTACGTTGCTAGATGATCTGCCTCTCAAACTGACTGGTAGCGCCCGGATGGTGGCTCGAGTCAGTCGGAAAGAGCAAGTCGTTCACGAGATGATAGCAGGATGGAGGCTAGGCTGAAGTCGATCGCCGTCTGCCTGAAGAGGACACATTCGCAATGAGTCGTGTGCAAATTCGGGCGTAAGAAGTATATCGGATATAGCTTGGGATCGCCAGCATAAACCGGCCATCGCGACAATGATCTTGGGCCGCAGACGCTCGGATTCACGCTAATAGGTTTACAACGAAGAAGAAGGCATTTATTCTCTGTACGCGAAGTCTGCTGGTTGCAGCTAGTCGAAGACTCGAGCAGAGAAGAATATCCTGCTGCCTGAAGGAACATCAAGCAGTGCGCGCTCGTGGTGATGGTCAAAGGCAACAAGCCGGCGATGCGGCCGTTAGCTCACACGAAGCTGCGGCAATCACCGAAACGGATCAACTTTTTGCCCTCTGGCCGTGAACCTCGTGCTCGCGTTTCTCGTTCTGCACTCCAAGGACCACCCACCATCGTGTCTTGCGCGATGGTCTCCTTTATTGCGAGGCTCGCGGTATAGGACATTCCGCTCGCGATGCAATGCTCGACAGTCCCCGTCTGTGCAAGCCTCGGGGACGCGAGAAGACGCTCGGGCTTTATGCTGACGAAAGCTGTTTGATTGATGATATCAGCAGTCTGCTTACACGGGTGAACCATATCTGCATGCAGTATATGCGCAGTCAGAATGGCAAGAAAACGTCGCTTTGGCGTGCCCTACGTGCCGTATCCAGGCTGTTGTGGCCTCCCGTCGACCTCATGCCCGACGCTGTTCGCCGGTGAACGGTACGTAGACCCGGCGCAGTGATGGGCGCCGAGATCGTCGTCGACTGCCCGCTCGACGCGCTCGCGGCTCACAGGCTGTCAGCCCCGCGACGGCTTGCTTGCGAAACGCGATCCCGCCGCCAGAGCAACCATCGAACACGAGAAGACATCTGAGCAAGGAAATATCCCTGCGCCGCAAATCTGAGAGCACAGCGGGTGGCAAAGTCGACAGTGAGCTCGCGCGACACGGCCGCCAGACGTTCTTCTCCCACCACCATCAACAAGAAGCCTTCCTCCGCAAATGACTTTCTTCTTCCTGGAAAGTTCAAGCAAGCATGATCCGCGTCCGAACGCCGAAAACAGCCCCTTTGTTGTTTTCCTCCGTCTGTTTTTGTTGTTCGTTGCTCGCCGACCGCCGAGGTCAATCTGTTTCCGAGCTTCGGTGTTCGCATCTTTCGCGGCCACGTATGCCCCCGACTTCTCGCCTCCCCGCCATGCAGCTGCCTGCATGGCGATATTCGTGAGCTGTACGAGCAAGAGCACGAAGTCGCGTTATGCGCAGTTCATTTACGGTATATTTGAAAGAAACCCCTAGTACAGCAAGTAAGCGGAATGCAGAATAACGCATGGAGGGCCTGACCGACCCGTTGCTTACCAAACATCCGCATTGGCAAGCGAACGGCGGCTGTAGCTGTGTCATCCGCTCAGCAAAGGCTATCATCACAGGCAGGTGGGAGCGCGCATAAAAGACGCCCTACTGAATTTCGAGGGAAGTCAGCAGCGCTCCTACCTCTCATCCTCTCACACTACCTCGCCTTCTCCTCGCCTCTTCCACCACCAAAAATGTCCAACCGTCTCTCCAAGATCTTCGGTGGCAAGAAGGCGCCCGTCTCCGTCTTCATCACCAGCGCGACTGGTAAGTCGCCACAACTGGCTCACCGTCATCTCAACATATGCTCATCCGCATGCAGGTCTTGTCGGCGCTTCGGTCGTCCAGCTCATCTACAAGGACCCGAAGTACAACGTCACGGCTCTCGTCCGTAGCGAGGAGAAGGCAGCTAAGCTCGAGAAGCTCGGCGTCAACACCGTCGTTGGCTCGCTCGACAATGCTGAGCTCATGACCGCTCTCGCGTCCCAGTCCGACGTCGTCATCCAGATTGTGCGTTCACAATACGTCTTTCGTATTCGGATACATTCTGACGTACATCCCCACAGGCTGACATCTTCAACCTTCCTGGAACGGAGGCTCTCCTCAAGGGTGCCAAGCACCGCTTCGAGAAGACTGGCAAGAAGCCCATCTACATCCACACTTGCGGTACTGGTATCTGGGCCGACCTCGGTTCGAACGGTGCTGCGCCTTCGGACAAGATCACCAAGGACACCGACGCCGACCTCGTCGAGAACTACAACGGCCTGCCCCACAAGGGCCCCGCCGAGGCCATCGTCGCCGCCGGCAAGGAGGGCTACGCCCGCACCTTCACCGTCTACCCGCCCACCGTCTGGGGTATCCCCAAGGGCCCGATCTTCGACGCCCACCTCGCGCACACTTCCTCCATCCAGCTCCCGCTTTCCATCAAGACCTCTCTCGGCCGTGGCCAGGGTGGTGTTGTCGGTGAGGGCAAGAACGTCTGGAACCACGCCCACGTTGATGATGGTGAGCTTCTTTCTCTCACGTCGTCCCAGTTTGGACGAGCAACGCTAACCTTGTTTCTCCCCAGTCGCCAACTTCTACAAGGTCCTCCTCGCCAAGGCCGTCTCTGACGAGTCGACGCCCTCTGGCCCCAAGAACGGCCACTACATCATCGAGGCCGGCGAGTACAACTACCTCGAGCTCGCCAAGACCTACACCAAGCTCCTCCACGCCGCTGGCAAGTCGGAGTCCGCTGAGCCCAACCAGTTCACCGCGCCCGAGTTCGAGGCCATCGGCTTCCTCTTCATCCTCGGCACCAACGCACGCACCCAGGGTGTCCGCGCTCGCCAGCTCGGCTGGTCGCCGAAGTACACGACGAAGGACTTCTACGCCGGCGTCAAGGCTGAGGTCGACGGCGCTGTCTCCGGCACCTTCGCAGGCGTCCCCTACTAAGCGCCTCGCCGCTGGCTTCTCGCACTCTCTGCCCAGCATCACATCATCACATCTGTAATACCACCTCCGCTCTCCCCATTGTGTGTGCTATATACCTCAGAGATACCTTCCTACTTTTACGACCGGGCACACGACTAGAGTATGAGTATTTCGAGATACCAGGCTGCTTTCAATATTATACAGCCCGTTTCCTTGGGGCTTCTGTATCTTCCTCGTGTGATCCTCGTGTGATGCCCGTAGTCAAGTTCCAAGATGCAGCCGCGACAGCTGTCAGTTCAATCAAGAATCTGTTCAGACGGCAAATATTCCGAGCTGTTTGAGGGCGCGGCCGTCGGGCGCACTTCATCTGGCATTTCCGTTGATAGCAGTCGGACAACGTATGTCGAATCCTTACAGCTGTCGTTCGGCCGCGCCGAGGTATTGTAGTCATACAAGACGCTCGGGTGAACCGAGCGGCGAACTCAAGACAGCAGGGGAAAATCAGGCGCTTAAATAAGCATCTAGAATATTTCTACCCTAGGATACACATCAAGACAACAGCACTGGGGGGTATTGGCACAGAGTCAATGTACTAACACGCTTCATGCGTATGCGCCTGGGTAAAAAAGACGCGTAGCTAAAGGTCGAGGGAGGCAAGCAGCCAAGCACTAGGCATATCATAAACGTAAGGGGTCGAGAGAAGGGGTAGATAGTGTTTGGACATCAACAAATGGGGTGGCGTAGGCAGTGAGCGACGAGAAGGCAGAAGAAGGGGGTATAGGTTGTGCGAACATTGAACGTTGAGGGGACAGAAACGTTAGGTCGAGACTCGAGAGAAGCGGCCGGCGCGGGTACAGCGGCTCGCGCGATGTTGTGTATTCGGTTTCAGAGACCTAAATCCACACGCGGCCGTCAGCGTTTGAACCCTGAATACGCACACGACCCGAACAAACTCACGTTTGATGGTGGCTTCACAGTTCATTGAAGGAAGCCGGCCTGGAAGAAGCTGCTCACGCGCTTGCTTGCAAGGAACGCGGCAGTGTCCTGGCCTTCAGGGCGGAAACAGTCGAGCGGGACGAGCCCGACGTTCTTGTCGGCGTTGCGGACCTGCACCCAGCCGTCGTCGAAGGCCTGGAGTACGATCACTTCGTCACCGGGGCTAACACCGATCTCGTCGTGGAGGCTGGGAGTGAACGGACGTGCAATAGTCACGCGTGTGCCAATGCCGATGACGCTGCCTGCGCTGCCCACGCTCGAGCCCACGCTAGCGCGCGCGCCGGGTGTGACGGGTACGACGGGGTCCGCGAAGGGGCTTGCACCAGGTGGAAGGCGGTCCGCGAAGGGGTTGTTGAGGTCGATGAGCTCGTCGACAGACTTGCGCTTCTCCTCCTTGCCGTGGCTCGAGGTCGTGGAGGGCGGCTTGGGGAACGAGTGACCATCCATGGGTGAGAACGCACGGGCCGACATAGGCGTGCTCGGCATCTCCTCGCCGTAAACAGGTGCGGGAAGGGGAAGTCCCTCGCCCGAACCTTCCGAGCTTGCGCTACCAATGCTGTACATAGACGCCCGGGTGTTCTCCTTCTGCGTCACGACAACCGGAGGCGCCGTGAGTGGCGCAGAGTTCAGTTGAGCCATCGTGTTCGGCGCGGAGTCAGGCGTAGGAGACATTGCGTCGGTGTAGAGCGCACGGCCATCGAAAGGTGTCCCCCAGCTGCTGCGTGTGCTGATACGCGCTGCAGGGTCGACGTTCGTGCTGCTAGCGTTGCGGCCGAAGAACCAAGCGGTCTGGCGAGCCTTGCGCTTGTTCATGGAACGGCGGCGCATGACGAAAATGATAAGCAGGCCGCCCGCGATGAGTGCGGCAATGATAATACCCGCGATGGCACCGCCTGACAGCGAGGAATGGTTTGCGGCGATAACAGATGATGAGTTGTTGTTGTTGTCCGTGGCAGAGCTGGTGCCAGAGTTCGTATCCGAGCTCGAACTTGAGCTTGAGCCGACGCCCGCACCGAGGCTTCCGATAGCGGTCGGCTGCGCAGAGTGGCTGGATGAGGCTCCAACCGCCTGCGCGGCAGACAAAGACGCGTTATCGTTGACGGCAACAGCGACATTGGCAATAGGGCTCGAGGGAGCGTTGGTCGCGGTGCTAGTCGCTGATCCGGCAGACTCGACGTTGACATCAGTTGCCTCCGACGTCGCGGAAGTAGTAGCAGCAGCGGCAACCGACGTTGACGCGACCGAGGGGCTAGCAACGGCGCCTTGGGAAGAAGTAGGCTTGGCGTCCGAGGTGTCGACGGATGCGCTGCCCTTGCCCGTGGCCACGGTGGGATTGCTAGCGGGTGTAGACACGGTCGGGCTGGAGCCGTTAGAGCCGCTGCCGGTCCCAGAGCTAGAAGAGCTTCCGCTCTCACTGCCCGTGTCATTATCGGACGCGCTGCTGCCATTATCGCCGCTGTCCGAGGATGACGCGCTATTGTCGCCAGAGCCAGAGTTGTCGGGCGACGACGGGACAGAGGTAGCTGTCGGGGCAGGAGCCTGGGCCGAGGACGAAGATTGGGGTTTCTCGCCGCTGATGAGCGGGTCGAGGAGGTTGCTGATGATCGGGATGGAGGGGACCGGGAAAGGCAGGTTTATGAGCGAAGGGTCACGCTCCTCGAGGTGCGCATCGCCGCGCTTGCGCTTGATAAAATGGCGCCTTGGACGGGAAGAATGGACCATGGTGGGCGGAAGGAGTGTACGGAATAAAAGAACGTTTGTGTCGTAGCGAGCGAGCGCGGAGAACGAGACTCAGTCAGTCAAACAAACCTATGCCGTCGTCGTGGCAGTCGACATTCAAGGTGCTTAATCCCACCACGGCCTGCTCTCAATTAGCACTCCACCGATCCCTTCGCAACCGCCCGCCCTCCCGCTGATCCCATCACCACAGTCCGACGTTCCCGCGTTCCTCTTGTTTCGCTTTTGGCTCTGCCCTCCATCGCGATCTGTTCGCGCCTGTATGACCCATCCCAGTAGCATATTGCATATCGACTGCCTTTCGCTCGTCCCTCAGCAATGCTTGCTCTGCGCCTGCTCGAAAATCCAGGAAAGGCACATCAGGAGATACGCACTTGTACATCACTCTCACCCTCATGCTCGGCGGCGGCTCTGCATGGCGCTCAAGCCTACCCCGGGATCACTCTATCAGAACCTCGTGGGTAGCGACGTGTACGGAAGGGAAGTGAAATGACGTAGGGGTCACATTCTTCGTTAAGCGGCTTGCAGGCATACGGCCCTCGTATTCGAGCTGCTGGATCATCAAAATAATGCAGCATGTCCTACTGGTATAGCTGCCGTCAAGCCTCTGGTCATGACTGCTCGGTTCAGGCGTCCTGCTAACCTTATAACACCTCCTGCACACTATGTGTGGCACCTGAGCTCAAAGAGAAGTTCTTCTCAAGTGAACGTGCTCTTCCCCGCTTCCAACAAGACGTTCTTGCTGTTCAGACTCGGTTTTCCGGAGACGCTCGCGAAGAGCGTCAACCGTCCCGTGCCGCTGTCGGGGTCACCGGGCGACTAACCGGCTAACACAGTATCCGTTGAAGCCATACATAACTATCGGCTCCCGGCTGCTCCTCCTTACCCGGTTCTCCCACCACGCTATCGTGTTCTACATCCAATCGCTATGACCGCTACGGAGTTGCGCATCTACAAGTCGCTATACCCGCCGCCACCTCCATTGCCCACGCCGAACCACTATGACTTCCTTCTGAACCGACCAGACCAGGCGACGTGGCCCGACTACACGGTGTACATCGATGGCATAACCGGCGAGCGTATGCGATTCAGCGCCTTCAAGGCCAGGGTGGATGCCTGCGCGATAGCGGTCGTAGCGCAGCCAAATCGCGGCGGTCTAGGGATCTATCCGGGCTCAAACGAACGGGTCGGTGTGCTCTGCGAGAACTGCATCGTAAGTATCCCGCTTCGACAGAACATGCGCGCACTGACCGGGAATGCACATCCAGGACTTCGCAGTGATTGCACTCGCACTACTTAAGGTCGCCCTTCCGGCCGTCTACCTCCCATCATCATCTCCTGCTGCCGAAGTCTGTACCCTGGCGAAGACATCGAGGGTCACACGGATATTCTCCAGCCCGCGCCTGCTGAGCATCGCACAGGCAACTGGATTACCAGACGGTCAGATCTATGTCATGAACGGACGCGCACGGCGGCGAAGGGGTTTGGATGAGGCCATCGAACGCGTTCAGACTTACGGGATCAACATGCCTTCGGTGAAGGTCACTGACGAGACGCTGGCGTACATGGTGTTTTCGAGTGGAACGAGCGGCTTGCCAAAGGGTATGCCGCTCGTACTTCCTCTTTAATGGGCTTGTTAAAGCTACTTTAGGGGTGATGATCTCGCACAAGAACTTGTTCGCCTCGGCACTATCAGCTCTGACCTTGGTGCAAGAAGTGAAGAAGGTGCACACAGTGAGGCCAGCATTTCCCGGGCATCATAATAAGAGCTGATCAAGCCCCCCGTCGCAGCCCACCCCACCCGAAAACGAAGAAGGCATACCTATCAACATCATAGCCACACCCTTATACCATGCTATGGGCCTACATAACGGCGTACTTCGGCATTTCTACACGCCACAGACGTCTATTGTGATACCCAAGTGGGACGTCGACCTGTATGTGCGCCTGATGGAGAAGTACAGGGTCACCTCTATGTCAGTCGTACCAGCGATAGCGCATCAGCTGGCGAAGCACAAGGGCTTCCGCGAGATGGATCTCAGCTCGCTCAAGACCGTAGGCTATGGAGCCGCTCACACGCCGGATGAGCTGAGGCATCGCCTAACGAAGAGGATGAAGCTGGATTGGATTGTGGAGGGTGAGTCGCTGGCCGCCTCGAGTCCGTTCTTTGTTAACGCAGCCGCAGGATATGGTCTTTCCGAATGCGTGCGTTATCAGGCGGTGGTGCAGAATGTGCATACAGTCTCACCCTGATGCTATCCAGACACTTGCAGCCGTCGGAATGCCCTTCAAAGGCACCTTGGACGGACGCGCACCATGCTGGGTAGCCGGAATGACCGGCATCTTGCTTCCCGGCATGGAAGCCCGCATCGTACGTGACGATGGCACGGATGCAGACGCTGGCGAGCCAGGCGAAATATACCTGCGCGGTGGCACGATCGCGTTGGGCTATTGGAACAACGAGCCTGCAACGCGCGACGCGTTCTTGCCAGGCGGCTGGCTGCGTACGGGCGATCGATTCCGTGCAGACGCCGAAGGTCGATTCTTGTAAGCACGGTCGCGTTCTCATCGCGCATCTCGTCCTTAGTACTGAGTCATGCAGCTACGTGGACCGCATGAAAGACACACTCAAGGTATCAGGCGTTCAAGTATCTCCAAGCGAGATTGAAATCGTCCTCCTCGAGCATCCCGCACGGCTCATCTCCGATGTTTCCGTCGCAGGCGTGCCGGGCGTGCGGATGTCGGATGAGAAGGTGCCCCGTGCATGGATTGTGTTGTCTGACGCGGGCAACAAGCGTGGCGCGGAGAACGTCGTGCGCGAGCTTGACGCGTGGGTGAAGAAGCAACTCAGCAAGCCGAAATGGGTCAGGGGAGGATTTCAGGTCGTCGACGAGGTGAGCTAAGTATTGTGCGTGGGTTTTAGTTGACTGAATACCTCCAGATACCGAAATCACCGACCGGTAAGGTTCTAAGACGGGTATTACAGGAGAGGGACAGCAGCCTTCGTGGGGGCGGGAAGCAGCTTGCCAAATTATGATACCCGCACTACACTCTACATACATCGTTGTCACCAGTAGACACATGACGAGCATGCGGGTTGAATCGGTATCGAGTGTGGTATACAAGTGAGTATGCATAAGGGAGTAGCACAGAATGAATCTGTACTGTAATCATCAACGCGACGCGTCGAGCGCTGCAGGCGTCGCGCAGGCAAGACGCGTGACGTCATGTATCAAAAAGGCTGGTTCGGGGTCCGGACGGCGCCCAGGGCATAGTATACCTTGCTACCACCATAGTCCATATAAATAGTATGTTACAGAGAGCAAGCGATCTTGAGACCAGCACGTCCAATACAACTACGGAAAAAGGGCAGCGAACTGTGATGTTATGTGGCCATCGTGTGCCGCGGCTTCCTTTGCCAGCACTAGCGTCTCGAGTTCATCGGCGGGCACGGCGGGAAGGCGGATGGGCCCCGCATAATGACGCGACATCGAGTGCAAGTAGCTCGTGTTCTCGTACAGCCTGTGCTCGAATCTGTTTGCGGGATTGCTGCGGTTATAATAGTAGTCTTGTCCTTCAACGCAGTTCTCGATCTCATGTCTGTTTCGGTTCGCGTATGTCAGCAGTAGTGCGTTTTTCGGTTCAAGCCGAGTACGTACGAGGTGCGTAGATGATCCCTCATCTCCTCCATCGTCATCCAGGAGTGAACGTGGCGCAACATCCTGAGGAATCCTCCGTAGGTACGGAAGTCGAAATGCTTGGTGCAGTGACAGCAACCGAAGCCATTCTGCTTTGCGCGCGCGCCACCGCGCACGACAACCGCGTGTGCGCGAACATAACGTGCTTCCATCTCGGAGGCTAGTCTATAAGTAGGAGACCCAGTCCTGTGGTCGGGCGGTGTGCGGCTTGTATCACCGTGAGCGACCTAGATGCGACATCGGTACTTAGTCTTTAACAAAATAGCATGCGAAGAGGTACTAACCGCATCTCTCCAGTTTGTGAACGCCACACCGTCAGCACTAGCGCCGTAGATCGCAGTATGTCCGTGCATGCAGATGAAGACAGGCGCGAGCCGATCCATGTCTACAGGGGTCGCCGTCGCGGGATCAAGCCCTAAAAGGTCCAACATGTGAACTACCAAAGAGCGCAGTTCATTCACGGGCTCGATAGGATGTTCCTTGCGAGAAATACAATCATGAGCCAACCCGTCGAGACCGAAGTGAATGGGACGTGTTCCCAGTGCACGACTCGCGGGGTGCTGGCAGCGGAAGACAAAGGCAGCGCGGTCAAGAGTGGCCAGAGGTGACAAGTCTAGGGCGAAGTCTGGGCATTGAACCTGGTATGACAGAGGCACTTGTGACGTGGGGATATCGGCATTGGACCATGAAACAGGCAGGGCGGACCTCAAGCTGTTTCCCGTATTCAAGATCGACTGCTCGATGGTCATGATAGACGAAAGCAAAGATTGTCGGATAGAGACGCGATATTCTGCTGTTGGGCTCGTGTCGTCGGCTTCCAGTATCTCCTTGACGCCCTCGAGTCCCGAGTGCTCCCAGATGCGTTTTAGATGCGGTACAAATGCGACCACGGGCCAGGGTAAAGCGCGCAAGATGGCGTCATTGTATTCTTCTTCGACCGCGTCTTGACGTTCTTCCATACGCAGGACGCGTTCACGTTCGAGACGTCTATCACGAATGTCTTCTATGACAGCGCTCAGGATCGGTCCCACCCTCGACCATACTACAGAGTGTGAGAAGGAATCTGTATTCACGGGCCAGTATGTACACACTTTTGTCCGTCATAGGTTTCGCCGCTCTAACTTCCTGATGCCGCTTGAACTCGCCGTGCTCCATATCGACTACATCGTAGCCCATCGCAAGCAGTCTTGACTTGATCCTATAACCCCAATGAGATGGCATCTGATGACGTGACGGCTGCACGTACTGTTCGAATCGAGTCTTCTTCAGATCTCCAAGCTCGGTTTCTCGATTCTCAAGGCGCGCATCCTCGGCCGCGTAACACACCTTTGCGTGCTGAGATCTAGTTCAGTTTCGCAGCCGTCCGTATGAGATATAGGATGCATACCTCAAGCCGTGCAAGCGTTCTAGTCTTCCTATCCTGGTCTAATTGAGTGCGGAGCGTATCGAAGTCGCCACCAGCATCGCTCAATGTCTTCAACTTCTTCATATAGTCAAGGCAATCGCTCTTAAGCACGAAGGGATGGTAGCGATCCGAGGTATTGTTGTCATTGATGCTTAGCATGATTCTTTCGAGCGAGTGCGCTGCTAATCGTGTTAAGACGCTTCACAATTCGAATATCTGACATTCTACGCACACTCTGTGTCAAACGGTATGACGTCTCGCCAGCTCGTCTTTGGGTCCATTTTCTCGGGGCGAGGAAGGAGGTTTATACGCAACAGACTGACAGATATTACACGTCAATACAGAGTGACCAGTATGAAGAAATTTGGCTCACTTCTCGCTTTGGCACGTTTTGCAAAGCCGTATCCGTATAGCCCACAAGATCTCCTTCGATGTTTTGCCACCACACGACTGATATCAAATTAGTCAGTACGTCATTCATACAGGACCGTGGCCACTCACCCCACACTTCCCTCCACCAAATACGAGTTGAGTCCACGCCGGTTCGTCCATATTCTCAGGACGCGGCGGATGACCGGCTTCTTCCGACGCCGCATCAAGTACGGAACGCCAGATGAAGGCTGACTGCCGCGACATAAGAATGCTGCGGAAGCTCTTCGTAGTGCGTGCCAGGCTGAGGAGGTCGGGCGGTCCAAGATGCGCAAAGATCTAGCGTCCATCAGTGCTTCTGACATATTACGCGCCAAACGCATAACGCACCTCATAGAGAAGATCCATGGGCAACGTCGGAAGCACGCTCAAGCGTCCCTGTTTCCTGCCACGGTTTGCTGGAGTCTTGGATGTAGCCGCTGCATCGACCTTTTTGGTTCTGGCGCGCTTGGCAGGCCTTTTGCCGACTAAACGCGGGTAAGCGTGAGTATTCCTTTGTTAGCGCATACACGCACCTTGCGGTAGTCCAGCTGTTGACGCGTTCGAGCCACTCGCAGAAGACATAGCTAAATAGACAAGAGGTCCCGCTAAGGAAGCGGGCGGGCGGCAGAGACGATGATGGTGGCAAGAGGCAAGAACGATTGCTTCGGGCTGAGTTACGCGAAAGCCAATCGTGCATTCAGCCGTCCGGCAATCAAACGCGTGACGTCACGCAGCGTCCTCCGGGCCGCTGTCCGACGTTTTGAGCATCGACGCCGCCAGCAGGGCGCGTACACCTTCTCACTGAGCACTCAGGCTGATTGCGATGACATGACAGGTTTGCTCACACGCACAGTCTTATCTCAACGTTACGGTACATTTATAGCAGTAGATATACTAAGGCCGAGGCATCTGATAGAAACATGACGAACCACTCCCCTTACTATGAACCTGCAAACGCAGTCTCCTTCTCCAGGACCAGCACCGCAAGCTCTTTGGTAGTCACCTCGGGAAGACAAATGGACCCTGGGTGATGGTATCTCCCTCCGCTGATGAATATAGATGCCGACTTCTCGTACACATTGCCATCGAACCTTGCTACCGGGCTCCTCCTATCGTAGTAGTAGTCGTGACCTTCGACACTATTCTGAGTATCGTGCCTAATCAAACCGTACTAGTTAGCCAAATGCGGAAAGCAATACAAAAAATTTCGGTCGAAAGCCGCAGTGAACGTACGAGGTAAGAAGATGCTTCTTGGCTTGACGCAGGGTCATCCAGGATTGAGGGTGACGGAGCAGGTGGTGAGGCTTGTGTTGTTGAAATGCAAGATGCTCGGTGCAATGACAACAGCCTACGGAGTTCTTTCCCCAGTTTGGATGTAGTCTTGCGCGCTCCGCAGTCATAGCTCGGACGTAACGCGCTTCTAGGTCGGAAGCGAGCCTAAAGACGGGCGGGCCAATCTTATGATCAGGAAGTGTCCGCCATGTATCGCCATGAGCGACCTGATTGCAGGGAATCAGTGCTTTGTACCTGACCCAATAAATTATGATGCTCATACCGCATCTCTCCAGTTGACGAATGCCACACCAGCGGTATCAGCATGGTCTTGCGTACAGACGAAGACGGGGGCGAGTCGATCGACATCCAAAGGCGTCGTCGTCGGGGGATCGAGCCCCAGAAGCTCCAACATCTGGACCACCACGGAGTGCAGACCATGTTCTGGTTCTGGTGGTAGATCTTGACGCATAACACATCCGTGTGCGATGCCATCCAGACCGAAGTGAATGGGACGTATATAGAGCCCGGGTGTCGATCGGTCCTGACAGCGGAAGACGAAGGCGACACGGTCGAGCGAAGCCAGAGGAGAGAGGTCAAGTTCATGCTCTGAGTCCACGAATTGATGAGACAGAGATGCCGGTGATGTAAGACTCGACTCTTCGCTATCCCAAGATGACGGTAAAGACGCTCTCATGTCTTCAGCGGCAGAACATATCGGTTGTTGCATTGTCGGAACGGAAGAGAGAAGTGTTTGGCGAATAGAGAGGCGGAAGTCATCAGATGGGTTCGCATCGTCTTCCAGGACCCGCTTCACGTCCTCGAGACCCTGTCGCGTCCAGACCTGGTTCACGGGAGGGACGAACGAGACCATAGACCACGGAATAGCGCGCATGATCGCACTGTTATATTCTTCCTCTAGCACACCCTGACGCTCATCCATACGCAGGTAGCGTTGATTTGCGAGTCGTCGGTCACGGATTTTTTCGACGACTGCACTGACGATCGGGCCCAGTCGCTTCCACACTGTGAAGATTCAGGAAGGAGACAGCATGTGTATATCGGAGGATGCGTACTTCTATCTGTGACAGGCTTGGCGACTCTCACTTCAGAATGATGCTGAAACTCGAGGCTGTCGATGTCAACAGTATCATAACCCATGTCGAGTAATCTGCGTTTTATTCTGCGATACCAATGAGATGATCATGTATCGTTCCGGGCGAGTATGAACGTACTGCTCGAAACGAGTCTTCTTCAGATCTTTGATCTCGACGCCGCGGCTCTGCCAACGCTCGGATTCGGCCGCGTAGCAGGCATCTGCATGCTATAGCCTTCTCAGCGTACGCTCGAGCAGGATGGACGCACGACAGACCTTATATCGCTTGGCCATCTTTGCCTTCCGCGCCTCGTCCATTTGGGCACGAAGGGTCAAGAAGTTGCCGTCAGCAGAATCGAGCAATGCGTCCAGCTCCTTAATGTATTCGTTCAAGTCGCGCTCCAGTATGGGAAATGGGGCCCGGCTTCCGTCGCTTACATGGTGGTCAGCCATCCTGCCTGTTCAGAAGATGTGTTAATTTCGCGTAAAGGCCGAAGGAAAAGCTCACCAGCATCGGATGGTATAACCTCAAACAGCTCTACCTTTGGATCCATCTCTTCCGGTCGATCAACGGCATCTATGGGCAGCGTACTAGACATAGGGTACTTGAGTTTGAGCTAGCAAAACAAGAGAATGCTCATTACCCACTGCACTGGCAGGTTCTGCAGAGACGTATGCGGAGCGTCCAGTTGACCTCCCTCGGCGTCTTAGCTTCGCAGAGCTACCACCAATCAAGCATGAGACCCAGCCAGTCATACGCCACAGGTACAGCTTGCTCACCCCACACTTTCCTCCTCCAAATACGAGGTTGGCCCACGCTGGCTCGTCCATATCATCCGGGCGCGGTGGGTGGCATCCATCCTCAGATGCTGCGTCGAGCACAGAACGCCAGATGAACGCTGCTTGACGCGACATGAGGATACTACGAAAGCTCTTGGTTGTACGCGCCAGGCTGAGAAGATCTGCAGGTCCAAGTTGTGCAAATATCTGATCGGGTATGAGTGCTGGAGCTAGATCGCGCGACATAGGCGCGTGCGTACCTCGTACAGAAGGTCCATGGGCAGCGTCGGAAGCACACTCAAGCGGCCCTGCCTGCCTCGACGCTTAACCGGAGCTTGAGAAGCAGAGGTTCCATCGCTCTGCTTGGCCTTCCGGGTGCGCTTTGTCGGGCTTTTGCTGGCTAGACGCGTGTAAGTGCGAGATATCATCCCTCAGCGCAAATACCCACCTTTTGTGGGCTGCTGGGTCGTTGTTGATGTAGAAGCACTGCGAGCAGAGGTCATCGCACGGGGACGGGCACGCAGTGGCGCGTCAAGTATGATGGCAACTGCCGGGTATGATGGTGGTTGGGTGTGAGCCGCGCCGAGCCGTACGCGTCCGCGGTCGTCAAAACGCGTGACGTCACGCATCACCTTTCACCTGTTCGAGCTTCGACTCGAGTTTGACACTTCATCCAGATCAAGTGTATAAGGATCTCGCAATAAAGCGCTAGTGTACATGATACAAACCGGAAAGCCGGGCTACGCTACTGTGAAACCGCTAACGCGGCCTCTTTCGCCCGTACCTGTGCCTCGAGTTGAGAGGCGGATACATTAGGAAGACGAACGGATCCCGCGGTATGCCGCCCACTACTGACGGCTATAGCCGACGACTCCCCGTACACATCCCCGTCGAACCTCGCGGCCGGGTTCCTACGATCATAGAAATAGTCTTGGCCTTCGACGCCATCGCGTATATCATGCCTAGACGCGCGATGCTCAACAACCGTACCACGCAGCACGCGATAACTGAGAGACGTACGACTTCTGAAGATGTTCTTTGATCTCCGGAGAAGTCATCCATGACTGTCGGTTGATATGTTGAAACCGACGGAATGTATGGTGCTGGTAGGATTGGAGTTCAAGGTGCTTGGTACAGTGGCAACAGCCCACTATGTTCTTGTTTGATAGTGAATCTGCGTTAGCGCGCGCGGCAGCCATAGCGCGAGCATAACGCGCTTCGAGCTCGGACGCAAGTCTTAAGTCGGGCGGCCCGGCCATGTGCTCGCAGAGTGAACGACGCGAATCACCATGAGCAACCTGGGCGTGTGGTTCAACGATCATACACAGGAGGATAGGGCGATCTTCATACCGTGTCTCTCCAATTAGCAAATGCTATGCCAGCGGGCCGGATACCCGTAGTGACAACGTGTCCGGAGGTACAGACGAAGACAGGTGCAAGTTGATCGAGATCCAGAGGCGTCGCAGTCGCAGGATCAAGATCCAGAAGCTCCAACATCTGGACCATAATTGACCGCAGGTCATCCTCAGGTTCCGGTGCATTCTCTTGACGACGAGCGCATTCATGGGCTATTCCGTCCAGACCGAAATGTATGGGGCGAGTCCTGAGCCCCGAGTTCGAGTCCTGGCAACGGAAGACGTAGGCAGCTCGATCAAGTGAAGCCAGAGGTGAGAGGTCAATCGTGATTTCCGAATGTGCGAATGCATGAGATAGAGACGGTTGTAGTGAAGTAGATCTAGTGAACGTCCACGCCTGTGGCACTGTTGTCTTCAGGTTTTCAGCCACGGACAAGATCGACCGTTGCATTGCAGGGGCGGAAGAGAGCAGCGCTTGGCGGATAAAGACGCGATATACGAGGGACGGCTCCGTGTCTTCAGCCTCGACAAGCGCCTTGACGTTCTCTAGCCCTGGGAACTCCCATACACAACGCACAGGAGGGATGAAAGAAACCAGAGACCACGGAACAGCACGCATGATGATGCTATTGTACTCTTCTTCGACCACATCGTGACGGTTGCCTACGCGCTGATCACGTTCTCGTGCGAGGCGCCGGTCACGTATCCCTTTGACAAGCTCCTTCATGATAGGTCCCAGCCGGATCCATGCTAGTGTCCATCAGCACAAAGCAAAGACAGCGCGAAAGATGGCACGCACTTCGGTCTGTGACGGGCTTGGGCGCTCGGACTTCCGTGTGTTTCTGGAACTCCCGACTCTCCATGTCGACCGCGTCGTACCCCAAATCAAGGAGCCTGGACTTGATTCTAGAGGGGATGTCAAGTGACGGACAGGATTGTCGACTGTGTACGCACTGTTCGAACCGAGTCTTCTTCAGATCATCGAGCTCAACTTCACGACTCTGGAAGCGAGAATCCTCGGCCGCGTAGCAGGCATCCGCGTGCTACAATACCTTAGCGCCTATGACCGCAGCAGTCCGAAGTGTTGGCGTACCTCGTAACGAGCAAGCATCCTTGCCTTCCTCTCTGTGTCCATCTGAGCACGAAGGACGAAGAAGTCACCCTCGGCGGCCCGGAGCGTGTTCAAGTCGTCGATGTACGCGTTCATGTCTTGCTCAAGTATCGAGAAAGCGGACCGCCAGTCTTCAGAAATGAGATGAGAAATGAGATGCCTGTCAATATAATGACCTGATGGTTTGCGTCAGCTCTAGTCTCGGGGAAGCAGAGTAAAAAGCCTTACAAGGATCGGCAGGCAGGACATCCTCCCAACGCGTCCCGGGATCCATCCCTTCGGGGCGCCGAAGTGCGCGTGCTTGAAAGAGGCTGCACAGTACATATGTAAGTGCGTACTGTCAGAGAAAGCGCTGATCCTTACTTCGCGTCCCGACAACCCTTGCACAGACGTTTGCGTATCATCCACAAGATCCCCTTTGACGTCTTGGACCCACAGAGCTACTCGGCCAAATATGAGATCAAGCTGTGTAGTCAAGAGTGTACATCACATTCACCTCGCACTTCCCTCCGCCAAACACGAGATTGGTCCATGCAGGCTCAGCCATATCCACCGGGCGCGGCGGGTGGCCACCTTCCTCCGACGCGGCATCGAGCACGGAGCGCCAGATAAAGGCCGATTGACGCGCCATCAGGATGTTACGGAAGCTCTTTGTGGTACGCGCAAGACTAAGAAGATCTGCGGGCCCGAGGTGTCCGAATATCTGTGGTTAGTTGAGCGCTTGATCTGGATCGCGCGACATTAGGCGCGTGCGCACCTCGTACAGAAGGTCCATAGGCAGTGTTGGAAGCACGCTCAAACAACCCTGTCTCCCACGACGCTTGAGTGGAGCCTTAGTATCCGCCTTGCCACCGTTGTTTTTGGGTCTTGCGCGCTTAGCCGGCTTTTTACTGGCTAGACGCGTGTAAGACGCGCCGACCTACACAGCGCATATACGAGCACCAACTGACCTTTCTTCTCCGGCTCAACAGACGGTGTCGCAGAGCCACCTGCCGAAGACATGGTGCAAGGTATACAGACTCTCTTCAAGATGACAGCAGACGAGTAGCGAAGATGGTGATGGTGGTGAAAGGCAGGGTTCACTCGCAGCGCTTCGGGCTAGGTGGTTACGCGCCGGCCAAACCACAACGGCACAACCACGCGCAGAAGTGAAGACGCGTGACGTCACGCCTCGGTGTTCTCGCCTCAGGTTTTGTTCGGGCTTCGGCGTCCGGACCGCACTGCGAGTGCGGCTGCCCTCGGAGCTGCGAGCATCTTTGAGCACCAGGTGCGATAAATAACGAAGGTTTATACAAGATACAAGATGCGTGATGCACGCTTGCCTGGTACAGTGATATACATGCGGGAGTAGCTGAACGAGGTAGCCTCTTCTACCGCCACCAACCGATAACTTACGCGACGCCAACGAGTCGGTGCTGACTTGGGGGGTGGCTTCAGTAGCGACCTGGGGAGAGAGAGGTGTGGGTGGCGAGATGGACAACCTGCATATCAACCTGCTAGCCGCTTCGGCTGGTCCGTCTCCGTGTTCCGCTGCTGCTAGGTTGAAAGGGACGATCCGGACGACGGCTCCGGGTATGCGCCCGGGTGTGAGCAAGAGATGTCGAGCACGCTGGTAAGGTTGGGGATGTAGAGAAGGGTGGCGCGATCCCATAATAGCAGACACCCCGCACGCCATTCCTCGAGTCGATAAATCGCAGATAGATGGACATAGAAGTTGCTGACCCTCATGCATGACTGCGAGACGAGGACGGTGTACGATGGCTTGGCAGAGGTAGACGCTGTGGCACATGTAGCTGTATGTGGCGTACAGGGTTGCGCTGATAGCAACAAAACACTTCAGGATCTCGCCGCGAACAAGGTTTGTAGGCAGTCGATTGACGTGAGCCAGGTTAAGATGGATGCATATGGGCACAGAATTCTCGATCCATCCGTCGATCCATTCGTCGTCTCAACAAGAGCTTCCATACGTTGCATACTACACAGCCCGTTGCCAGCTCGCCAAATGTCAGAAGGACGTGAGGAAAGGAAGCGCGCTGCCGACGCCACCGCGTACCCATCGCGTCACCTCGAGAGATTCGCAATACATATCCGGGGTACACAGCCGGCTGAAGAGTTGAGGGCGACGCCACAAATTGTAGCTTCTGCCGCTCAAGCCGAGCAATTGTGAGCCTTGCGCCGCCGGAGGAGATGGGCCCGAGGTTCAGGCAAGCTCTGGGCTAGCCGGATCGAGTATTGGCTGCTCGCTCGCTGTGATGAATGCGGAAAGAGGGTTGGTGACCAAGCGGTGCGCGGTGAGAGAGTAGGTACGTCGATAGCGGCGCTGTTGGAGATGGGAGTGAGGGAGGATGGGATTGGCCGAAGGAAGGCTAAATTATTGGGCGCGCGGAGCGGGAGGACTGCAAACAGGGCTCAACAGTTGTCTATTAGAATCCCTCATGGGCAACGCAGCGTCGGGGCAGATCGAGCACACCGCGGGCCACCCCCCTCGCGTGCCGTCGTCCTCGCCGCCGCCGAGCAGGGTGCCCGTCCACCGCTCGCTCAGGACAAAAAAGAAATCACTGGAGCTGCCCGACCTGGCCAGCCTGACGCTGACGGCCCAAGACCCCCGCTCAAAGGCGAGCTCGCCCATCCCCATCCCGGCCGGCGCCCAGCCCATAGGCGCCGGCGGGCACACCCGCACCGTCGCCCTCCCCAGCACATCCGAGCTTTACCGCGCACCACGCGCAAGTCGCCACGCTCCCACCCCGCCCCCGCC